GGGGGGGGGCAAAATTTATTATGGTTTATAATGACAAATGATACTTTGAATATTACATGTTAATAACTTGATACGAATTATAACCTTGAATTGACAGTTTGATACTTTGAAAATTTTAAGCCAGCCCTACCCCCAAGGGCTGTAGGTGCTAGTTTCAAATCCTTTTTAGTCTGAAATCTGTATGCTAGATATTGAGTAAGGTGGTTTTATTGTTTTTTGTCACTTTGAATAATATTTCTGTTCATGTTAAAAGCAAAATCAACTCTCTGTATAAATATATCAGGTGACCGTTAAGGCCCATGGGCCTCTTGTTTTACTTTATGTTTTTAATTTAGAATCATGACCAGTTTTCTTTCAGAAATGTGCAGTTTTACTCATGGAATCTAAGTTTTATGGAGATAAAAAATGGTTTACATATAAAAAAAGATAAACAACATGACTTATCTTTTCATATATATATATGATTTACTGTATATTGAAGAGTTACTTCATATCTTCAGGCTCGAGTTCACTGCTCAATCTTGTAGTTACATTGCATGGTATTATAAGGACATTTACATGGTTGGTCACAATGACTAGCTGTTCCTAATATGGGTATGATATCGTTAACATTTGTGTCACCTGTATGTATATTGTCCGCCACTCCCTTAAGGCCATAGTCGAACCTAATGCAATTATTTGTTGTGCTGTAAATTAAGTCACTTGTATATCTGAAGTAAAAGATCAAAGTGTTATGTCCTGTCGCCTACCCTCCCCCTCAATTACCAATGGTATTCTATAGCCCGTCCTAGTTATAAACATCAAACAAAGCTCTTCTATCCTACATATAACCTCCCTTTCAATTACTATGGAATCTTAATGTATCGTTGACCTTACTCAGTCTCGCAAACAATCTTCAAGCAATCTTATTTAAGGTAGAGAGTCACTAAACTTTCTACTTGACACAGACTTACAAAAGTGATTTTCATGTTAAATAAACTTGTAGGTAAGTTGATTTGTCCTTTGTATATATACAAAGACAATTAAAAGTTGCATCATTTGCGTGGCTTTTTTAGAAAGTTAGAGCATTTTGAAAATGTTCCTGGTAAAAGTACAGAAAATGTTAACCTATGTAAATATGATAACCCCTAAACTGCAGTGGCTCTTCATGATCACTGGAAACACAGTACAGAGTGCTGGGGCTTTCTGTCTTAGATATTGTGGTCTTCTGTATAGCCATAAATGTTTATTCATTTACCACTTATTTGGTTTCAAAAGTTCAATATTTTGTTGAAAAACAATTTATTTGGGTAAATAACTTACAGCCCAAATTGTTTACTCAGTAAATAAAGATACTATCACAGTGCTTAGGGGTAAATATATGATAGAGTATACGTATATATAAAAAGACATAAAGCTAGAACTGTATGTTGTTTGTGTAACCCTACATATCTAAGGACCATAATTATCACTTCACATTCCATTGGGTGTAGTTATCTATATCATAAGTGTGTACATCATTTACAAATTATGTACATGTCTAGACAGAAAAATCCATTTTCTAAAAACAGTCATTTCATATAAAATATTTACTTCAAATACATTGACAGTGGATTTCTTTCCAGAGTTGCTGTAGTTGTTTTACAGGCTGAAAGTGGTTCCCTTAAATTAGAAACTGTACAAAATACTGGCTAAACATATTTTCATCTTTGACCATCAGACAATTAATTCGATGCTGAGGCAATGCAAAATGCAAATGTATTGCTTTGGTTTTCAGGGTTCTCCCCAGAATTTTTTTAAGCTGATATGTTTCATTTGCAACGAACATTCAAGACGGACACGCTTATATAATACCTTATCAAACCTAAAGGGGGGGGGGTAATATTATGTTTAAAAAGTTACTTTAATTACCAAACTTCTTTTGGTGAACATTAAAATCAAGGAAATAAATAAGTGTTTCTTATGTCTGAATTTTCAGCAATATTATTGTTTTAAATATTCTAAAAAAAATACAATTGATAGAAAGGTGTATGAGTTTTGTATATTGAATAATAGATATGACATTTGTGACATTTGTCTCTTATCTTTACATTTGTATCCCTTACTTAATCCCCATTAAAAATAATTTAAAGAAGACATATTTAAAAGCTGTTTGTGCTTTAGGGGGAAACACTTACATGAAAAAGTTTATATCATAGTTCTTATTATTGTAAGAGAAAATGGTTTAATAAAATGTACAGTGTTTTTATTTCCTCCAAAACTGTATTAAATACTGCTGTCAGTTAATGTGATCAAAGATTAAAACAGCATTTTTATTTGAGCTCTTCTTCATTAAAAACGACAAATCCGGATTTTCATTCCCCTTTCCGGTTTGTACTTTACACAATCCAAGATGGCGACCATCACTAACTGAATACACACGCTATTTCAGCGTTGTGAAATGCAATCATATGGGAGTAAATTAATTTATAATAGATGTAATTAGTGTTTGTTTTGTTAATCCAACAGTAGGTACCTCAATTAATCACCTATTGACCATGTTAAAAGGATCCGGTGATAATTGCTTTAGGCTCCAGTGAGCACGCTTATTGCCGGACACCTGTGGGCTTGTCGTCCGGTCCCCCTCCCCACTAATTACAGGCCCCCTGTGGCAATACGCCTATCGTGCAACTGACCAGTGGGGTCATTGCTGGACTTGGGTCAGCCGTGTCATTTAATCAGTGTCAATTTCTTGTGTAAAAAGACCACCTTCAGTACAAATAACAAGGTGATACGGTTCACAGTTTAAGGTGATACGGGTCAATTAAGCTGATACGGCAGGGAGGATTTCAAAATGAAGCTGATACGGAGCCGTATCAGCTAAATGGCCTGGGGAGAACCCTGGTTTTGATATTGAATTTTCAGATTGTGGTTTGGTCTATAGGGTTAAATGTCCTACACACAGCTATAGTAAATTAAGGATAACCCTCCATGTGTGTAATGTACATACATGTGTGTGCTTCATGGAGGCAAAGATTTTAGTGCATGCGTGCAGTATGTGCGTCTGTACGATTGTATGGGGCGTCTGTTGCTGACTTTAGAGTGCTACCTCAATGGAATATCACCATGCTGAAGCTAAAGGCTGCCTGACTAAGCACAGTATCCTGCAGTAACATAGCAGGGAAAAACAAGTACAATTTTAAGGACTTTGTAATTTAAATGTGTCCTGACCTGGGGACTTAACTCATTGCCTCCTCAAAGTGGCTTATGTTCTGTTTACTGTCAAGCGCTTAGCGTTTCCAGGAGATACATTATGAGGGATAAAAAACATATATAGAAATACAAGTAAAGGTAGGAAAACAATGTTGTAATGGCACATAGGAACTCCCTGGTACATATGTATAACAATGTTGTAATGGCACATAGGAACTCCCTGGTACATATGTATAAAAGGGATTGATGAATTGCTTTTTGTCTGGTCCCTCGACCCTTCGACCAGTATGGTGTGTTTGTACCTGGCCAGCATATAGCTTTTGGGTTTTTCAAAACTTGCAAGCCATCCTTCCCTGGCCACAGCTTGCTATAGGTTGTCAATCCATTGGGAAATTGACTGGGTTATAGTGAAGCAGAACATGTAAATTTGCTTAATTTCAAAGATACGCAAATTTAAAAACATAGAAGAACGCCAGCAAGCAAGGTGAAAATACTCTTTTAAAAGAATAAAAACACACAAGCCTTAAATAGTTCTGGTTAAAAAACCTATATTGTATTTTTACTACATTTCATTCCAGGGTTCAGACCCTCTGGTGTCAACGGCACGGGGAAAATTACAGACCAAGAGATCCAAAATAAATGATCAAATCAACCGGGAGCTGAGGATGAGGAATGGTGCTGAAAATCTATTTCGGTATGTGACCAAACCCGAGTCAAACAACAAAAATAAAATGATGTAAAAATTGCATTGCATATTTTCATTCAGATAATTTCCAATGATTTTCAAAATTTTGTTTACTTCATGAAAAATTAGCAGTGTTGTCATATTTTCAGTATAAACTAAGCTATGAATCAGATTGAAAAATGGTAGGTGTCAGGTGGAAGATATTGTATGGCCCATGATTTGGTAATTTTAGATCCAACAGCAACTTCGGGGCTTTGAAGAGAAACTCATATTCAACATTCTAGGTCAATAATCTTACCGTAATTTATCTTGCAAATATTGATGTATAATTAGTATACAAAAACATGAGAAAGGGACAAGCTAAAAATCTCCAAAATCTAATAAATTTACAAAGATGAACAAAATTGTTCTTTTAACAGGCTACAATATATGATAAGAAGGATTTAAAATTCATCATAAAGCAGCATGTATACTTTGTTTGGTTCAATATGTCAGCATAAATATTAGCAAGATATTTTAATACATGATCAGCTCATGTTCCTGATTTACAAGTTTTATATATATAATTACTGTAGAAATTATAAACCATTACCAAATCTATCCAGCAATAAGCCCATGCCAGGTAATAAGCCCGTCTACAATTAATGCCATCAAGTAGTAAAAAAATCCAACAAATATTATTTCATTGTCCTGAAAATAAATCCCATCTCCTTCCTTCCTGCCCCACTGCATGCACTTTGAGTCACAAATTATGTGTTGGCCATCTTATTGCAGGATAAATACGGTAATCAAACATTCATTAATTGCTAATGAGTTGTAAAGTAGATATTAAAATTAGTGTAACTGGATCTTGATCTTTGATTCAGATCAATACATGGTTATGAATATCATCCATACAGCAAATGTCAACCGCAGAATTCATTATCAGCCATGTTTCCTAGATAAAATATAAACCACCTATTGAACTTATCAAAGGTCTATACCGGTAATTTGAACAATCGTCTGTCCGTCAACTTTTCCTTTAAAACGCTACTAGTCCTGAATGGCCAAGTAGATTTTTGACTAAATTTGGTCTGAATCATCCTTAGGCCAAGGAAATTTAATTTTGTGTAAACGGTGGGTGTGGCCCCCCTGGGGGCAGAAGGACGGGGCCCAATAGGGGAAATAGAGGTAAAAACTTTAAAATCCTTCTTCTACCGTAGGGATTAAGGGATTTTATTCTAATTTAAACTTGAGCATCCTTTTGCCAAGGGGACTCAATTTTGTATAAATGGTGGGTGTGGCCCTCCTCGGGGAAGAGGGGCGTGACCCAATAGGGGAAATAGAGGTAAAACCTTTAAAATCCTTCTTCTATCATAGGGATTAAGGGATCTTATCCTTATTTAGTCTGGGGCATCCTTGCATTGGGCCAAGGGGACTCAATTTTGTAACAGTGTGTGTGGCCCCCTGGGGGCTGAGGAGTGTGGCCCAATAGGGGAAACGTAGCAAATGCTTCAAAATCGTTCTTCTGTAGGAATGACAGGATTTCATCAAAATTTGGTATGGACGATGGGTCTGCCACCCCTGGGGGCAGATATCAGAGGTGGGGGCCCAATAAGGGATATAGAGGAATAGCTTTAATTTCCTTTTTCTTTCGTTGGGGTGAAGGTATTTTGACCAAATTTGAGCAGTAGCGTCATATTGGGAAGGGAAATCAATTTTGTATAAATGGTGGGTTTGGACCCCCTGGGGCGTGAGGGTCAGGGCCCAATAGGGGATACAAAGCAAATTCTTCAAAATCTGTCTTCTTCTGTAGGAATGACAGGATTTTGATTAAATTTGGGATGAAACACCCTTGGGTGAAGGGGAACCAATTTTGTATAAATGGTGGGTCTGACTCCCCTTTTCGCAGAGAGGCAAGGCCAATGAGCACAAATAGCTTTTAAATCCTTCTTCTTCTATAGGAATGACAGGATTATGTCCATATTTGGTCTTAAGAATCCTTGGGTGAAGGGGACCTAATTTTGTATCACAGTAGGTCTGACCTCCCCCCCCCCCAGAGGGGCAGGGCCCAATAGGGTAAACAGTAAATTCTTCAAAATCCTCCTTTTACTTTAGAATTAAAAAGGATTTTGTCCAACCCCTGACTAACCATGTAATACATGTACACTTCCTGTAACATCTTGCTATTCTAACTTCAATTTTGTTAACTTTTCCAGGTGAGTGATACAGGCCCTCTGGGCATCTTGTTTGTTTTATCCGTGAAGATGAAAAACAGCAACATATTTTTTTGCTTCAATCACAGACCTTAACTGAAAATGGAGCAATTCATTTTTTATGTTGAAAGAAAGATGAAAACATCAGCATCTTTTTATGCTTCTATCAATTTAGTTTTCGACCAAATTTGATGTTTCCTGTAATTTATATATTAAAAACTTCCAGGGCCACCAGCAATAAAAGATTAAAGGAACTGGTGGCTGTTGAGCTGTCCTTTTTCAATTCAAATATTCAACTTCTCAAAGAAGAGTTATCCGAGCTGAACAGTTCCGTGGAAGTATATCAACACGACAGGTAAGAAAGAGCTGGAAAAAAATACAATGTTAACAGTAACAATATTTAAAGAATATTATTTTTTTATTCCTGAGAAGTTGCAAGTGGTTATACATGTAATAAATGCATCATATATAGTGTTGGTTATCAAGTTTATCTAGCTCAAGTTAGTTAATCTTCAAACTGTATAAATACACAAGGTTTACCGAATATCTTTTACAATTTTGGATGATGATAGTTACCTATATTTTGATGTTAAACATAAATTTTAAGTAAAAACAAAATATTGGAACATTGATAGCATAAAATATTCAGAGGTCAAATTCTTGGCGTAAATTATTTTTCAACTGCCATAGGTCATCAAAATGATCAGCTTATACCTGGTAATGCAGGATGGGAACTTGGATTTATAAATCTTTTGTTGTGTCACATGAAATATTTTTCTTCTATAAAAGTGCAGTTGTGCTTGTGTAACTTGCATATTCATGTACATGTTTTTGTGATATATCACAGTGTGATCATGATCTGTCATCATTCACTTCCTGGTTGACTTTGTATAGCGTAGATCCCCCAGTGGTGACACCAGTAAGATCCGGGTGACATTGTTAGAGAACATAATCCATCAATTTTACCAATTTTCTTGTTTAATGTTGGTTGTGTTTTATCTTTTCAAATAAGACTTTTGTTAAAAACACAATATATTTACTATTATGTTTCCTGCATATAAAACATGATAATGTATACTGGGAAACATAGAAAACATGATAATGTATACCGCGAAACATATAGAACATGATAATGTATACAGCGAAACATAAAACATGATAATGTATACCGCGAAACATATAAAACATGATAATGTATACAGCGAAACATAAAACATGATAACGTATACCGCGAAACATATAAAACATGATAATGAATACCGCGAAACATATAAAACATGATAATGAATACCGCGAAACATAAAACATGATAATGTATACCGAGAAACATATAGAACATGATAATGTATACAGCGAAACATAAAACATGATAATGTATACCGAGAAACATATAAAACATGATAATGTATACCCCGAAACATAAAACATGATAATGTATACCGCGAAACGTATAAAACATGATAATGTATACCTCAAAACATATAAAACATGATAATGTATACAGCGAAACATATAAAACATGAAAATGTATACAGCGAAACATACAAAACATGATAATGTATACCGCGAAACATATCAAACATGATAATGTATACCGCGAAACATAAAACATAATAATGTATACCGCAAAACATATAAAACATGATAATGTATACTGGGAAACATATAAAACATGATAATGTATACTGGGAAACATATAAAACATGATAATATATACCGCAAAACATATAAAACATGATAATGTATACCGCGAAACGTATAAAACATGATAATGTATACCTCAAAACATATAAAACATGATAATGTATACAGCGAAACATAAAACATGATAACGTATACCGCGAAACATATAAAACATGATAAGGTATACCGCGAAACATATAAAACATGATAAGGTATACCGCGAAACATATAAAACATGATAAGGTATACCGCGAAACATATAAAACATGATAAGGTATACCGCGAAACATATAAAACATGATAATGAATACCGCGAAACATATAAAACATGATAATATATACCGCAAAACATAAAAAAAATGATAATGTATACCCCGAAACATAAAACATGATAATGTATACCGCGAAACGTATAAAACATGATAATGTATACCTCAAAACATATAAAACATGATAATGTATACTGCGAAACATATAAACATGATAATGTATACCGCGAAACATATAAAACCTGATAATGTATACCGCGAAACATATAAAACCTGATAATGTATACTGCGAAACATATAAAACATGATAATGTATACTGGGAAACATTGAAAACATGATAATGTATACCGCGAAACATAAAACATAATAATGTATACCGCAAAACATATAAAACAAGAAAATGTATACCGCGAAACATATAAAACATGAAAATGTATACCACGAAACATATAAAACATGATAATGTATACTGGGAAACATAGAAAACATGATAATGTATACCGCGAAACATATAAAACCTGATAATGTATACCGCGAAACATATAAAACATGATAATGAATACCGCGAAACATATAAAACATGATAATGAATACCGCGAAACATATAAAACATGATAATGTATGCCGCGAAACATATAAACATGATAATGTATACCGCGAAACATATCAAACATGATAATGTATACCGCGAAACATATAAAACATGATAATGTATACAGCGAAACATATAAAACATGAAAATGTATACAGCGAAACATATAAAACATGATAATGTATACCGCGAAACATATAAACATGATAATGTATACTGCAAAACATAAAACATGATAATGTATACTGGGAAACATATAAAACATGATAATGTATACTGGGAAACATATAAAACATGATAATATATACCACGAAACATATAAAACATGATAATGTATACTGGGAAACATATAAAACATGATAATATATACCACGAAACAAATAAAACATGATAATGTATACTGGGAAACATATAAATCATGATAATGTATACCGCGAAACATATAAAAAATGATAATGTATACCGTGAAACATATAAAACATGATAATGTATACTGCGAAACATATAAACATGATAATGTATACCGCGAAACATAAAACATGATAATGTATACCGTGAAACATATAAAACATGATAATGTATACTGAGAACCTTTCGCCGAGTCAAACATTCGTCGTACGCTGGTGAAATCTGTCGTCGTACGCTGGTGAAATCTGTATTCACCCAGAATTAATTTAGCCCTTCACATTTGATCTCTATATTAGATATGTTGGTTACACTTGTTCCTTCCTATGATAATTTCGAACTCGCTATAGTGGGTATAAAAGGCGAAGGGTAAAATGCTGCGAACAATTTCCCAGTATATAGTATCTACATGTATTTCAGAACTACATCCACGAAAGTTTTGTTAAATGTTAATTAAAACATGTATGAAAATCTTAAAGATTTTGTCGTGAATTGTTAAGAAGCTAGTTAAGAAGCTACTTAACTAGTTAAGAAGCTAGTTCATTATTTAGATGTTGATAACTTCAGTGATGTGGCATGTGTTCCAATGATCCCGCTGGGTCTGAAAGAAACAACGGAATGTGACCTGACTGTTCCGCTAAAGGTGATTATTGTTTGACAGAACCCTAACTTAATATTTTAATTGATAAAAAGTTTTTTAAAAAAAGTATCTTTTCTTCGTCTATAGCTTGAAAGAATACTCTCAATTCTTCTCTTTCATATTTGAACTCTTGAAATCAGGATAGTTCTGCTCAGATTAAACAAATTTAGTGTATTAAATAACTTTCAATAGTGAATTTTTATTCTATAGATTTATCATATATTAAAGGTCATTGAATTGTAAGTGTTTAAGGAAATTCTAGCTTTTTGCACTGGTCTCTTCCCCCATGAAAAACTTGAAATGTTGGCAAACATGGGTCTTATAAAAGATAGATATACCGATTTATCTTACCTGTAGCTAGGAAGTTGAATGTTAGAAAATGAAAAGGTTAAATTCAGTAACTTATCAGTAAGATATGATTCATTTGAAGATGTTTTTAACTTTAAAAATAATTTTTATTAAATCAAATCATTACGATTTGTAGGGGAGAAATGTGTTTGCCAGAATTTACTTGTAGAGTTTGTTACAACTTACATGAATCAATGTTGTGTGTACAGCATTAAATCATTACAGCTATTTTGTTTAATGTGTTGACAGGATTTTATTAGTGAACATTACAGCGAAGATTCTGAAAAGTACACAACAGAGATTCAGGAACTGCTAGATCTACGACAGGTGAGTTATCCCCCTTTAGTGGGGAAAAACATAATTTTTAGCTCACCGGGTCCAAAGGACCAAGGTGAGCTTATGCCATACCATGGCGTCCGTCGTCCGTCCGTCCGTCGTCTGTCGTCTGTCGTCCGTCGTCCGTCCGTCAACAATTTCTTTTAACGACTTCTTCTTCTTAACCACTTATTGGAATTTAACTAAATTTGACTGGCAGCATCCCTAGGTGGTGGGGATTCAAAATTGTACAAATGATGAGGCTGACCCCCCAGGGGGCTGAGGGGCGGGGCCAAAAAGGGGTATTTTGACTATATTGCTACAAACGACTTCTTCTGTCGAACTATGCACTGGATATCAATCATATTTAATCAAAAGCATTCATGGGAGGCAGGGATTCAAAATTGTACAAATGGTGGGGCTGACCCC